TGGCACGGTGATGGGGTGATGGGGTGGCGATGGCACGGTGTTGGTTTGATGGGGTGGCAATGGCACGGCATTGGGGTGTCATTGTGATGGGGTGGCAATGGCACAGTGTTGGTTTGATGGGGTGGCAATGGCAGGGTGTTGGTTTGATGAAGGGGCAATGGCACGGCATTGGGGTGTCATTGTGATGGGGGCAATGACATGGTGTTGGTTTGATGGGGTGGCAATGACACGGTGTTGGTTTGATGAAGGAGCAATGGCAATGGCACGGTATTGGGGTGTCATTGTGATGGGGGGCAATGACATAGTGTTGGTTTGATGGTGGGGCAATGACAGGGTGTTGGTTTGATGGGGGGGCAATGGCACGGCATTGGGGTGTCATTGTGATGGGGGGGCAATGACACGGTATTGGGGTGTCATTGTGATGGGGTGGCAATGGCACGGTGTCGGGGTGATGGGGTGGCAATGGCACGGTATTGGGGTGTCATTGTGATGGGGTGGCAATGGCAGGGTGTTGGTTTGATGGGGGGTCAATGACACGGTGTCGGGGTGATGGGGTGGCAATGGCACAGTATTGGGGTGTCATTGTGATGGGGGCAATGGCATGGTGTTGGTTTGATGGGGGGGCAATGGCACGGTATTGGGGTGTCATTGTGATGGGTGGCAATGACATGGTGTTGGTTTGATGGGGGGGCAATGGCAGGGTGTTGGTTTGATGGGGTGGCAATGGCACGGCATTGGGGTGTCATTGTGATGGGGTGGCAATGGCAGGGTGTTGGTTTGATGGGGGGGCAATGACACGGTGTCGGGGTGATGGGGTGGCAATGGCACAGTATTGGGGTGTCATTGTGATGGGGGCAATGGCAGGGTGTTGGTTTGATGGGGGGGCAATGGCACGGCATTGGGGTGTCATTGTGATGGGGGGGCAATGACACGGTGTCGGGGTGATGGGGTGGCAATGACATGGTGTTGGTTTGATGGGGTGGCAATGACACGGTGTCGGGGTGATGGGGCCATGGGTGCCGGGCGGGTGCTGCGGTGCCGGTGCCGTGGTTCACGGTCCCCGCTGTGCAGGGAGGACTCGGGGCTCGCGGGCAGCCCGGGGGGGCTCTTCCTGGACGGCCCGGGCCAGCCTCAGGGTAAGACCCCATCACCCCTGCGCTGAGCGGCCCCGGCCTCAGCCCGCTGCTGTCGGGGGGGTGCAGACACCGGTGTCCCCCCCCCCAGAGCACGACACGGACTCGGACAGCGACCTCTCCCCGGGGGAGGACCCGAGCGGCTCCTCCGGCTCCTCCGGTTCCTCCGACAGCGAGGACGAGGCGGCTCCATCCGGATGGGACCCCCCGAGCGCCGCCCCCCCCCCGGAGCCGACCGGTAACGGCACCCGCGGGCACCCACCGGGGGGGGGGGGGCTTAGTGTACATGGGGGCACCCACTGGGGGGGGTCTCACCCGGTCTGGGTGCTAATGGGGGGCATCCAATGGGTTTCGGTCAGGGGGCCACGGGGGCACTCAGTGGGTACGGGGGTTGGGGGGGGGGGTCCTTGGCCTTGTTTGGGTGCTGATGGGGACACCCTGGTGGGGGGGTCCCCTTATTGCACATGGGGGCACCCATTGGGCTTGGGGGGGGGGTGTTTTATCTGGTCTGGGTGCTAATGGGGGGCATCCAATGGGTTTGGATCAGGGGGCCAAGAGGGCACTCAGTGGGTACGGGGGGGGTGTCCTTGGCCTTGTTTGGGTGCTGATGGGGGCACCCTGTGTGTGTGGGGGGGTGTTTTGCCCTGGGGGGGTCTTTGGCCTTGTTTGAGTGCTAATGGGGGTACCCTGGGGGGGGGGTCCCTTATTGCACATGGGGGCACGCATTGGGCTTGGGGGGGGGTGTTTTATCTGGTCTGGGTGCTAATAGGGGGCATCCAATGGGTTTGGATCAGGGGGCCACGGGGGCACTCAGTGGGTACGGGGGGGGTGTCCTTGGCCTTGTTTGGGTGCTGATGGGGACACCCTGGGGGGGGGTCCCTTATTGCACATGGGGGCACCCATTGGGCTTGGGGGGGGGGGGGTGTTTTATCTGGTCTGGGTGCTAATAGGGGGCATCCAATGGGTTTGGATCAGGGGGCCACGGGGGCACTCAGTGGGTACGGGGGGGGGCGTTTCTTGGCCTTGTTTGGGTGCTGATGGGGGCACCCTGGGGGGGGGGAGGGGGCGGGAGGTTTTGCCCTGGTTGGGTGCTCAGAGGAGGGCACCCACTGGGAACTGGGGGGGGGGGGGTGTCCCTCATCTTGTCCGGGTGCTAATGGGGGGCACCCGTTTATGTTTGTATGGGGGGGGGGCATTCACCATTGTGCTAATGGGGGCCACCCAGTGTGGTTGCGGGGGGGGGGGGAATCTCTTGCCCTGCCTGGGTGCTATTGGGGGGCAGCACGGTGTGTATGGGGGGTCCCCCCTGGCTCACCCAGCCCCCCCCCCCCCCCCGCAGGTGATGCCCGGGTGCCCCCCCCGGGCTGCCCATATTGGCCGGGGGAGTTCATGACCACAGCGAGCGAGAGCGAGGGGCCCGGGGGGGGGGGCAGCGGGACCCTGCGCGTGGAGCCGGGGGGGGGCGAACCCCCACATCCCCCCCCCAGGGATCCCCCACTGCTGCCGCACCCCCACAAAGGTACGTGGGGCGCTATGGGGCTCTATGGGGCGGGAGGGGGGGGTACCTCAATGCTGACCCCCTGGGTGATGCCCCCCCCCCCCCCCACCCCATTGCAGGGATCCTGAAGAAGAAGGGCCTGGCCCCCATCAGTGAGCGCGGCAGCACCCAGCACCCCGTGCCCCCCCCCACGGGCTCCTCGGGCAGTGAGGGGGGACGGGGGGGCCCCATGGGTGCCCCCCGCCCGCGGCAGAGCCTCCAGGAGCAGCTCAGCGGCGTCACCCCCATCGCCATGAGCATCAAGGCTGGGACCGTGGACGAGGACTCCTCCGGCTCCGAGTGAGTGCTGGGCACCCATGGGTGCCCACTGGGTGCGAGGGTGGCTGGTGGGGTCCATCGGCTGCCCATTGGGTGTTGTGGGTGCCCATCGGGTGTTACTGTGCCCATTGGGTGCAACAGTGGTTGGTGGTGTCCACTGGCTCCCCATTGGGTGTTGGGGTGCCCATTGGGTGCCCACTGGGTGTTACTGTGCGCATGGGGTGCCCATTGGGTTTCATTGGGTGCCCATTGGGTTTCCAATGGGTGTTACTGTGCCCATTGGGTGCTCACTGGGTTTCCATTGGGTGCCCATTGGGTTTCTATTGGGTGCCTGTTGGATTTCCATTGGGTGCTGTGTGCATTGGGTGCCCATTGGGTTTCCATTGGGTGTTACTGTGCCCATTGGGTGCCCATTGGGTTTCCATTGGGTGTTATTGTGCGCATTGGGTGCCCACTGGGTTTCCATTGGGTGTTAGTGTGCCTGCTGGGTGTCTGTTGGGTGCTCACTGACTCCCCATTGGTTGTTGGTGTACCAATTGTTTGCCCATTGGGTGCCCATTGGGTGTTTGGGTGCCCATTGGGTGTTAGTATGCCCATTCGGTGCCCACTGCATGGCCATTGACTTGTATGCTGGGTGCTGGTGTGCTCATTGGGTGCCCATTGACTCTTCATTGGGTGCTGGAGTGCCTGGTGGGTGCCCATTGGCCATCCATGTGTTAGTAGTGTGCTTGTTGGGTGCCCAGCAGGCCCCCGTTGGATGCCCATTGACCACCCATTGGGTGCTGGTGTGCCCATTGGGTGCCCATTGAGCGCTGCCCTGTCCATTGGGTACCCATTGACCACCCATTGGGTGCTGGTGTGCCCATTGGGTGCCCATTGAGTGCTGCCCTGTCCATTGGGTGCCCATTGACCACCCATTGGGTGCTGGTGTGCCCATTGGGTGTCCATTGAGTGCTGCCCTGTCCATTGGGTGCCCATTGACCACCCATTGGGTGCTGGTGTGCCCACTGGGTGCCCATTGAGCGCTGCCCTGTCCATTGGGTACCCATTGACCACCCATTGGCTCTTGGGTGCCCATTGGGTGCCCATTGAGTGCTGCCCTGTCCATTGGGTGCCCATTGACCACCCATTGGCTCTTGGGTGCCCATCAGGTCAAACAGGGCACCCATTCAGCACCCATTGGGCTCCATGGGGGGGGGGTCCCTCACTAACCCTCCTCTTCTCTCCCTCCCCCCCCCCCAGATTTCTGTTCTTTAATTTCCTCCATTAACCCAAGGGGGGGCTCCTGCTCACCCTACCCCCCCCCACCTCCATCCCCCCATTGGGTGCTATGGGTGCTGAAGGCACCCTGCACCCCTCGCCCCCCATCACACATCCATCTGTCTTTTCCCCCCCCCCCACCATGCCCATGTGTGCGTCCGTCCATCACCCCCCAGGAGCGACGAGACCTCCATCTAACGGGGACCCACGGCACCCCCAGTGCCAGCGCCATGGGGACACTGCTGGGTTGGGGGGGGGGGGGCATGCATCACACCATGGGTGTCATGGGGATGGGGGGGGCATACCATGGGGACACCCCCCCCATTGCACTATGGATGCTGGCAGGGATTTACCCCCCACCCCTTGGCACCTTCTTGGGTTGGGGTGTGGGGGGGGTTGGTATTGGGTGCCCCCTACCTTGACCCCCCCTCCCCCCCCGCACCCCCCCATCACCCACAGCCCCCAGGACCCGGTGGAGGGATTTATTTAAAAAATACTTGGAAAATACAAAAAAAAAAGGGTATTTAGGGCTCCCTCCCCCCCCCATGGTGACACTGGGGTGGGGGGGGGTGGCATCATGAATGGGGGAACCAATATTACACCCCCCCCCAGGGGTGAGGCTCAGGTGGTGGCACCCATAGGGGGGGCACTGTGGGGAGGGTGCTGGGGGACCCCTGGGTGCTTTGGGGGGGGGGGTGTCCTATTGATGATGGTTTCCTTTTGTAATTAAAGCAAAATCCAACCTGAGCCTCGGCCTCATCCTGGGGGGGGGCCCTGACCCCCCCCCCCCCTCCCGTGGGGGGGGTCACCTTGGGGCGCTGCTCACCGCTGGCTTCCGGGGGCCCCGCAGGCGGCCGGGGGGGGGCCCCGGTTTGCAGCCAGTGCTGGGTGCTGGGGGGGGCCCCCGTGATGCTCCTGCAATGGGGAGAGCCCCAAGGGGGAAACTGAGGCAATGGGGGGGGGGGAACCGCGTTGCCCCCCCCCCCATCCCTCCAGCAGCACCTTCCTCACCTCGGGGGGCCGGGCCCCCCCTGGCCCGGGGCAGGGTGGTGGATGGGGGGGCACGGGCTGAGGGGCTGGGGGGGGCCGGGGTCCTGCTGTGGGGCTGGCGGCTTGGGGGGGGAGCTCCCCTCGCCTTTGGCTGGGCTGGGGAGAGAGAGGGGTGGGGGGTGAGGGGGGAGCACCTTGACCCCCCCTGCCCCCCATTGACCCACCCTCACCCCCATTGACTCACCCTGACCCCCATTGACCCACCCTGACCCACCCCCTGAGCCATGGTGTGGGTGCCCCATGGTGAAGGTGCTCCGTGAACCAAGTGCCCCATGCAATGGGTGCCCTCAATGGGGTGGGTGTCCCTGCCCTGTACCCACGTTGTCCCCATCCCCATCCATCCCCATTCCATCCTCATTCATTCCCGTTCCCATGCCCATCCCCATTCATCCCCATCCCATCCCCATCCCCTCCCCATTAATTCTCATCCCCATCCCTTCCCATCCCCATCCCCATTCATTCCCAACCCTATCCATTCCCATCCCCATTCATTCTCATCCCCATCCCCTCCCCATTAATTCTCATCCCCATCCCAATCCCTTCCCATCCCCATTCATTCTCATCCCCATCCCATCCCCATCCCCATCCCCTCCCCATTAATTCCTATCCCTATCCCTTCCCATCCCCATCCCTTCCCATCCCCATCCCCATCCCTTCCCATCCCCATCCCCATCCCTTCCCATCCCCATCCATTTCCATCCCCATCCCCATCCCTTCCCATCCCCATCCATTTCCATCCCCATTCATCCCCATCCCCATCCCTTCCCCATCCCCATCCCAATCCCTTCCCATCCCCATTCCCATCCCCCATCCCCATCCCTTCCCATCCCCATCCCCATCCCTTCCCATCCATTTCCATCCCCATCCGCACCCCCCCAGATCCGGTACCTGCTGCCCCCCCCCGCGCTCCTTCCTTTCCCCGGGCCCCAGCCCCCCTCCCTTGGGGAGTGCAAAGCCTGGGGGGGGCTCCCCCCACCCTGCTCGGGGGGGGCACCCTGGTGCCGGGGGCTCCTTTGGGTGCCGCTGTGGGGGCCGCCTGCAGCAGAGGTTGGGGGGGGGGGTGGGCACAAGGACACGGCTCAGCCCAGCGCCCCCCCTCCCCTCCCCCCATGGGTTTGGGACCTACCTTGGGGGCGCTGCTGGCAGCGGGGGGTGCCCGGTGCTTGGGGGGGGGCTGTGGGGCACGGGGGGGGGGGGCGGGGGGGCCCCGCGCGCTCACGGTGGGCAGGAGCGCGCGCACGGGGCTGTCCCGCACCACGAACGTTTCCCGGCGGGGGCTGCGGGGGGGGCGGGGGCCCGCGGGGGGGGGGGGGGGGGCAGGCGGCAGCGCTGCAGCTCCGCGGCCACGCGCGACGCCTCCCGCACCAGCTCCTCCAGGCGCGCGCCCCGCAGCGGGCTCCAGCCCCCCCCGGACCCCCCCCCGCCATCGGCTTCATCCTCCTCATCCTCGTCCTGGCTGCGGGGGGTGGGGGGGGGGAAGGTGGGAGCTTGGCTATGGGGCGCTGCGGCCGCCATCACCCCCCAGGGGCTCCACTGATGGGTGCCCGGTACCGCGGGGAATCCGAAGCTTTGGCCACAGGGTGGAAAGTGCCCCGGCTATGGGGTTTGTATCACCCGGCTATGGGGCTCCACATCTATGGGGCTCCACATCACCCGGCCATGGGGCTCCACATCTATGGGGCTCAACATCACCCGGCTATGGGGCTCCACATCTATGGGGCTCAACATCACCCGGCTATGGGGCTCCACATCCCCCATCTATGGGGCTCCACATCTATGGGGCTCCACATCCCCCATCTATGGGGCTCCACATCTATGGAGCTCCACATCACCCGGCTATGGGGCTCCACATCTCCCATGCATGGGGCTCCACATCTATGGGGCTCCACATCACCCGGCTATGGGGCTCCACATCACCCGGCTATGGGGCTCCACATCTCCCATGCATGGGGCTCCACATCTATGGGGCTCCACATCACCCGGCTATGGGGCTCCACATCACCCGGCTATGGGGCTCCACATCTCCCATGCATGGGGCTCCACATCTATGGGGCTCCACATCACCCGGCTATGGGGCTCCACATCCCCCATCTATGGGGCTCCACATCCCCCATCTATGGGGCTCCACATCCCCCATCTATGGGGCTCCACATCTATGGAGCTCCACATCACCCGGCTATGGGGCTCCACATCTCCCATCCATGGGGCTCCACATCTCCCATCTATGGGTCCCCCATCTATGGGTTTCCCATCCATGGGGCTCCACATCCCCCATCTATGGGGCTCCACATCTCCCATCTATGGGGCTCCACATCCCACATCCATGGGGCTCCACATCTCCCATCTATGGGGTTCTGTTATCACCCGTCTATGGGGTTCCACATCTCCCATCTATGGGGCTCCACATCCCACATCCATGGGGCTCCACATCCCACATCCATGGGGCTCCACATCTGTGGGGCTCCACATCACCCGGCTATGGGGCTCCACATCCATGGGGCTCCACATCCCACATCCATGGGGCTCCACACCCCCCATGTCCCCCGTTCAGCCCCCCCCCCACCTGTCGGACGGGGACAGGAGCCCGAAGTCGAAGCTCTCCTCGGTGACGAAGCGGACGTCGGGGGGCCCGGGGGGGGGGGGGGGCAGCCCCGCTTCGCCGCCACCGGGGGGGCCGCGGGGGGGCCGCGGCTGCTCCATGGCCGCGGCTGCCTGGGGGTGAGCGGTGACACCAGGGATGGGGCGGGGGGGGGGGGACGGGACCCGACGGTGCCAGGCGGGGATGGCTCCGGCGGAGCGGGCACGGAGCGGGGGGGCCCAGCCCCACATCGGGGGGTCCCAGCCCCACAACCTCATCCCCGGGGAGTCCCAGCCCTTCACCGAGGGGTCCCAGCCCCACAGCCCCATCCCCGGGGGTCCCAGCCCCACATTGGAGGATCCCAAACCCACAGTCGCATCCCGGGGGGGGGCAGTCCCACATCAGAGGGTCCCAGCCCCACAACCCCATCCCCGGGGGTCCCAGCCCCACATCGGAGGGTCCCAACCCCACAGACGCATCCCGGGGGGGGGGGCAGTCCCACATCAGAGGGTCCCAGCCCCACAACCCTATCCCCGGGGGGTCCCAGCCCCACATCGGAGGGTCCCAGCCCCACAACCGCATCCCCGGTGGTCCCAGCCCCACATCGGGGGGTCCCAGCCCCACAACCCCATCCCAGGGGGGTCCCAGCCCCTCACCGAGAGGACGCAGTCCCGCACTCCGATCCCGGAGGGCCCCCAGTCCCCAAACGGGGGTGTCCCAGCCTCACACCCCCCATTCCAGAGCATCCCCACCCCACATCGGGGGGTCCCGGCCCCACACCCCTATCCCGGGAGGTCCCAGCCCCACACGGGAGGTCCCAGCCCCACACCGAGGGGTCCGAGCTCCGCACCCCCATTCCAGAGCATCCCATCCCACACCGGGGGGGGGGGTTCCCAGCCCCACATCCGTGGGTCCCATCGCTGCCCCTCCCCTGCCCCACATCCGTGGGTCCCATCCCCGCTCCTCCCTCCCCCTCCCGCCCCCCCCTTCCCGTTCCCCCCCCCCCCCGGCTCCCCGCTCACCGCCCCCGGTTCCCGCTCTCCCGCGCGCGCGCCGAGGCGGGGAGGGGGCGTGGCCCGGTGGGAGGAGGGGGGCGTGGCCTAAGGGAAGCGGGGGCGTGGCCATGCGGGGGAGGAGGGGGGCGTGGTCCCGTTCTCATTCCCCCTCCATGGCGTCACCAGAGCCCGCAGCGCCGATTGGCTCTGCTCCCTGAGGGCACGCCCCTTTCCAAACGCTCTCTCCCATTGGCTGTGGCAGGGGAAGGGGGCGTGTCCCCGGAAGCGCGCGCTAGCGGCGGCATGGCCGCCGTCCCGCCTGACTCCTGGCAACCGCCCACCGTCTCCATGGAGACCACGTAAGGACATCCCCCCGGTACCGGTACCGGTTGCACCCGGGTCCGCTTCACCCCGGTACCGGTTCACCCCCGTTCCGGTTCACTCCGTTGCACCCCGGTTCACCCCGGTACCGGTTATACCCCGTTATGTCCCAGTTCTGGTTCACCCCCGTTCGGGCTCACCCCCTTACACCCCCGTTCCGGTTCCACCTGGTACCGGTTATACCCCGTTACGCCCCGGTTCCGGTTCACCCCGTTATGTCCCAGTTCTGGTTCACCCTGGTACCGGTTATACCCCGGTATGCCCCGGTTCTGGTTCACCCCATTACACCCCGGTTCCGGTTCATCCCAGTACCGGTTATACCCCGTTACGCCCCGGTTCCGGTTTCACCTGGTACCGGTTGTACCCCGTTACGTCCCAGTTCTGGTTCACCCTGGTACTGGTTATACCCCATTACACCCCGGTTCTGGTTCACACTGGTATCGGTTGCACCTCGTTACGTCCCGGTTCACCCCAGTACCGGTTATACCCCATTACGTCCCGGTTCCGGTTCACCCCAGTACCAGTTATACCCCGTTACGTCCCAGTTCTGGTTCACCCTGGTACTGGTTATACCCCATTACACCCCGGTTCTGGTTCACACTCGTATTGGTTATACCCCGTTACGTCCCAGTTCTGGTTCACCCCGCTACCGGTTATACCCCATTACACCCCAGTTCCAGTTCATCCTTCCTGAGTACCGGATACCCCGTTATCCCCCATCCCATTGCCCTCTCCCTGTACCGGACAGCCCCCGGTCCCCTTCCCCGTTACCACCCATTCCCACTCCCCCCATCCCGTTCCCATTCCCGGCTCTGTGTCCCGCAGGATGGGCCCGCTGGTGCTGGAGCTCTACTGGAAGCACGCGCCCCGCACGTGCAGGAACTTCGCGGAGCTCTGCCGCCGCGGCTACTACAACGGCACCAAGTTCCACCGCGTCATCAAGGACTTCATGGTGCAAGGGGGGGACCCCACCGGCACCGGTGAGCATCCTGCCCCCCCCCCAGTCACCCCATTACAGGTGCCCCCCTCTCCCTCATGCCGCTGACCCCTGTTTCCATCATTCCCCCCCCCGCCGTCTTCCCAGGCCGTGGTGGTGCCTCCATCTATGGGAAGCACTTTGAGGATGAGCTGCACCCGGAGCTCAAGTTCACCGGTGAGTGGTAGGGGCACAGTGGGACCTGTCCATAGGGTGATGTGACCCTTGTGTCCACCAGGACCTGTCTATAGGGTGATGTGACCAGGACCTTGGGTGGTGTGACCACCAAGACCTGTCCACCTGTCCACCAAGACCTATAGGGTGATGTGACCCTTGTGTCCACCAGGACCTGTCCATAGGGTGATGTGACCCTTGTGTCCACCAGGACCTGTCTATAGGGTGATGTGACCCTCGTGTCCACCAGGACCTGTCTATAGGGTGATGTGACCCTTGGTGTCCACCAGGACCTGTCTATAGGGTGATGTGACCCCCGTGTCCACCAGGACCTGTCTATAGGGTGGTGTGACCCTTGTGTCCACCAAGACCTGTCCATAGGGTGATGTGACCCTCGTGTCCACCAAGACCTGTCTATAGGGTGATGTGACCCTCGTGTCCACCAGGACCTGTCTATAGGGTGATGTGACCCTCGTGTCCACCAGCACCTGTCCATAGGGTGATGTGACCCCCGTGTCCACCAGGACCTGTCTATAGGGTGGTGTGACCCTTGTGTCCACCAGGACCTGTCCATAGGGTGGTGTGACCCTTGTGTCCACCAGGACCTGTCTATAGGGTGATGTGACCCTTGTGTCCACCAGGACCTGCTCATAGGGTGATGTGACCCTCGTGTCCACCAAGACCTGTCCATAGGGTGATGTGACCCTCGTGTCCACCAAGACCTGTCTATAGGGTGATGTGACCCCCGTGTCCACCAGGACCTGTCTATAGGGTGATGTGACTCCCGTATCCACCAGGACCTGTCCATAGGGTGATGTGACCCCCGTGTCCACCAGGACCTGTCCATAGGGTGATGTGACCCCCGTGTCCACCAGCACCTGTCCATAGGGTGATGTGACCCCCGTGTCCACCAGGACCTGTCTATAGGGTGATGTGACCCTTGTGTCCACAAGGACCTGTCCATAGGGTGATGTGACCCCTGTGTCCACCAGGACCTGTCTGTAGGGTGATGTGACCCTTGTGTCCACAAGCACCTGTCCATAGGGTGATGTGACCCCTGTGTCCACCAGGACCTGTCCATAGGGTGATGTGACCCTCGTGTCCACCAGGACCTGTCCATAGGGTGATGTGACTCCTGTATCCACCAGGACCTGTCCATAGGGTGTTGTGACTCCCGTATCCACCAGGACCTGTCCATAGGGTGATGTGACCCCCCTATCTACCAGGACCTGTCTATAGGGTGATGTGACCCTCATGTCCACCAGGGCCTGTCCATAGGGTGACGTGACACCCAGACCTCATCCATGGCATGTCCCCCACAATGTCAGAACCTTAGCCATGGGGTGCAATGTGTGCCCCCAAATCCCATGCATGGGGTGCTCTGTCTGCCATGAAACCAGGTCAACCTGCCCCCAAGCCCCCAAACCATTCATGCTATTGTCTATCCATCATCCATCCTCCATCCATCCATCCACCCATCCATCATCCATCCACCCATCCATCATCCATCCACCCATCCATCATCCACCCATCCATCATCCATCCATCCATCCTCCATCCATCCATCCACCCATCCATCATCCATCCATCCATCCATCATCCATCCATCCATCATCCATCCATATCATCCATCCATCCCTCCATTCATCCATCATCCATCCATCATCCATCCATTCATCCATCTATCCACCCATCCATCCATCCATCCATCCATCCATCCATCCATCCATCCATCCATCATCCATCCATCCCTCCATCATCCATCAATCCATCATCCATCCATCATCCATCCATCCATCATCCATCCATCATCCATCCATCCATCATCCATCCCTCCCTCCATCCCTCCCTCCTTTCCCCCCCCAGGCGCAGGGATCCTGGCGATGGCCAACGCGGGGCCGGACACCAACGGCAGCCAGTTCTTCCTGACGCTGGCCCCGGCGCAGTGGCTGGACGGGAAGCACAGCATCTTCGGCCGGGTGAGCCAGGGCATGGCGGTGCTGGCGCGCCTCGCCATGGTGGACACCAACGCGCAGGACCGGCCCCTCGACGACGTCAAGGTCATCAAGGCTTTTCCATCGGGATAATGGGGGGCTCCGGGTCCTCCTCTATGGAATAAAGGAGGTGGGAAGTGGAGGTGACCCCCCCCTGCACCGTGTGATGGGTTTTGGGGGTGGTCTGCGTGCTGTGGTTGGGTGACACATAACAGCGGGGTGTGCACTGGAGCTGGGATATGGAGGAGCAAAGGGGGACATGGGGATCCCAGTGTCCGTGGATGAAGGGAGGGATGCATGGAGGATGGATGGATGCATGGATGCATACATGCACGATGGATGGATGATGGATGAATGGAGGCATGGATGCATGGATGGATGAATGGAGGGATGGTTGGCAGGGATTCAGGCTGGATGGAGGGATGCATGGATGGATGATGAATGGAGGGTGGATGGGTGGATGGATGATGGATGGATGGATGGATGAATGGATGGGTGGATGGATGATTGATGGATGGATGGATGGATGGATGGATGGATGGATGGATGGATGGGTGGATGGATGATTGATGGATGGATGGATGGATGGATGGATGGATGGATGGATGGATGGATGGATGGATGGATGATGGGTGGATGGATGATTGATGGATGGATGGATGGATGGATGGATGGATGGATGGATGGATGGGTGGATGGATGGGTGGATGGATGATGGATGGAGGGATGGATGACAGGGATTTAGAATGGATGTCAGGGATTCAGGATGCACAGGCATACATGCATGATGGATGGTTGGATGATGGATGCATGGATGGATGGATGGATGATGGATGGGTGGATGGATCATGGATGGATGGATGGATGGATCATGGATGAATGGATGATGGATGCGTGGATGAATGGATGATGGATGCATGGATGGATGATGGATGGATGTTGCATGGATGGATGATGGATGCTCTACAGCCATCTACATATTCTGGGGAAGGGGTTTGTGTGGTTCCAGCCCCCACCTTGTGTCCCCCAAAGTGCCCGAGGACCTCCCCCAAGTGATGGTTCTGGGGGGTGGCATGGAGGAGGTCACCACATCATGGTGGGGACCCAGGGGGTGTTATGTGTCCCTCAGACCTGGGGTGTGGAGGGCTCCAGGCATGGGGGGAAAAGGGGGACAGAGACCCCAATGCCCGCCCCATACTCTGGGGCTGAGTGGTTCAGCCCCCACCATGTGTGACCACCCCCCGGGTGCCCTGGGACCCTCATCATGTCCCATAGGGGGTGGCAGTGTCCCCCACAAAACCTGCTCCCCCCGCTATTAGGGGGCTACTGGTTGCCTACTGGGGACTACTGGGAGGTCCTTGGTGCTACCAGGGGTCTACTGGTGGCTACTGGGAGCTAATGGAGGGCTACTGGGCGCTCTCTGGGGGCTACTGGGGACTATGGGGAGGTCCTTGGTTCTACCAGGTTTTACTGGGAAGTACTGGGGGCTACTGGGAGCTAATGAGGGGCTACTGGGAGCTAATGAGGGGCTACTGGGCGCTCTTAGGGGGCTACTGGGGACTACGGGGGGGTCCTTGGTGCTACCAGGGGTCTACTGGGAGCTACTGGGAGGTACTGGGGGGCTCCTGGGTTTACCTGCTGGGTGTTACTGGGAGCCAATGGGAGCCAATGGGCGGTACCGAGGGGTTGCTGGGAGCCAATGGGAGCTCCCGGGGCGGTACCGAGGGGGCTGGCGGGGATGGGGGGGGGGGGGGGGGGTTGGCTGTGTCGGTGCCCGGTGCCCGGTGCCCGGAGCGGGACGCGGCGCTCGCCATGGCGGGGCTGGGGAGCCCCGAGGCCGGCAGCGACCCCGGGCCCGCCACGCGCGTGGAGCTCACGGTGTCCTGCAGGTACCGGGGGGGAGCGGGGAACAGCCGGGGGTGGGAGCGGGGGGGGGGGGAGCGGGGGCCGTGGGGTGCCGGGGGGGGGAGTGGGAGCAATGGGGGGCAATGGGGAGAGTGGGAGGTACTGGGGTGCAATGGGGGCACTGGGAAGCACGGGGGGTACTGGGAGCAATGGGGGGCAATGGGGGCACTGGGAAGCACAGGGGGTACTGGGAGCAATGGGGGGCAATGGGGGCACTGGAAAGCACGGGGGGTGCTGGGAGCACTGGGCTGCAACGGGGGCACTGGGAAGCACGGGGGGTACTGGGAGCAGTGGGGTGCAATGGGGGCACTGGGAAGCACGAGGGGTACTGGGAGCAATGGGGTGCAGTGGGGAGAGTGGGAGGTACTGGGAGCAGTGGGGTGCAATGGGGGCACTAGGAAGTACGGGGGGTACTGGGAGCACTGGGGTGCAATGGGGAGAGTGGGAGGTACTGGGGTGCAACGGGGGCTCTGGGAAGCACGGGGGTACTGGGAGCACTGGGGTGCAATGGGGAGAGTGAGAGGTACTGGGGTGCAACGGGGGCACTGGGAAGCACGGGGGTACTGGGAGCAATGGGGTGCAATGGGGAGAGTGGGAGGTACTGGGGTGCAACGGGGGCACTGGGAAGCACGGGGGGTACTGGGAGCAATGGGGTGCAATGGGGAGGGTGGGAGGTGCTGGGAGCACTGGGGTGCAATGGGGGCACTGGAAAGCACGGGGGGTACTGGGAGCGCTGGGATGCAATGTAGGGAGTGGGAGCACGATGAAGCACATGGGGGGCACCGGGAGCACTGGGGTGCAATGGGGGGGTACTGGGGTGCAATGGGGGGCACTGGGAGCAGTGGGGTGCAATGGGGGTTACTGGGAAGCACGGAGGGGCACTGGGAGCACTGGGGTGCAATGGGGGGAGTGGGAGCACTGGAGTGTAATGGCAGCACTGGGGTGCAATGGGGGCACTGGGAAGCACGGGGGGTACTGGGAGCAATGGGGTGCAATGGGGGCACTGGGAAGCACGGGGGGTACTGGGAGCAATGGGTTGCAATGGGGAGAGTGGGAGGTACTGGGAGCACTGGGATGCAATGTAGGGAGTGGGAGCACGACGAAGCACATGGGGGGCACCGGGAGCACTGGGGTGCAATGGGGGGGTACTGGGGTGCAATGGGGGGCACTGGGAGCAGTGGGGTGCAATGGGGGGCACTGGGAAGCACGGAGGGGCACTGGGAGCCCTGGGGTGCAATGGGGGGAGTGGGAGCACTGGAGTGTAATGGCAGCACTGGGGTGCAGTGGGGGGCAGTGGGGGCACTGGGAAGCACGGAGGGACACTGGGAGCACTGGTTTGCAATGGGGGGCATTGGGAGTACTGGCAAGCACTGGGGTTCAGTGGGGGGAGTGAGGGGTACTGGGGACACTGGGGTGCAATGGGGGGCACTGGGAAGCACAGGGGGACCTGGGTCCTGTGAGCACTCAGAGGTGGGGGCACTGGGGAGAGTGGAGAACACTGGGGGATGCACTGGGGCAAATGGGGGACTCTGGGGGGGCACTGGGGGCACTGGGAGAGGGTGTGGGAGCTGTGGGAAGCACTGGGGAAAGCAATGGGAGGAATGGGGGGCACTGGGAAGGAGGAGGGAGGCACGGGGGGGGGGAACTTGGGACAGGGGGTGCCACGAGGGGGCACCCCAGGGGCCGGGTTATGGGGGTCCCCCCCGGCCATGCTGGGTGCTCCCAACTGCTCCGGGTGCCCCCCCCAGCAGCTCCTGTGGCTGCTCCCATCCCTTCCCAGTGGGAGCAGAGAGAATCCTGGGGGTTGGGTGCTGCAGGGGGGGGAACAAGGAGCAGGGACCCCCCAACTGCACCCCTGGTACACGGTGTGCACCTGACACTTGTCACCATGGATGTGCACCCTGACACGTGTCACCATGGCTGTGACACCCTGACACGTGTCACCATGGATGTGCACCCGACACGTGTCACCATGGATGTGACACCCCGACACGTGTCACCATGGATGTGCACCCTGACACGTGTCACCATGGATGTGACACCCCGACACGTGTCACCATGGATGTGCACCCCGACACGTGTCACCATGGATGTGCACCCTGACACGTGTCACCGTGGTTGTGACACCCTGACACGTGTCACCATGGCTGTGACACCCTGACACGTGTCACCATGGATGTGACACCCTGACACGTGTCACCATGGATGTGCACCCGACACGTGTCACCATGGATGTGACACCCTGACACGTGTCACCATGGATGTGCACCCGACACGTGTCACCATGGATGTGACACCCTGACATGTGTCACCGTGGATGTGACACCCCGACACGTGTCACCATGGATATGACACCCTGACACGTGTCACCATGGATGTGCAGCCTGACACGTGTCACCATGGATGTGCACCTGACACGTGTCACCATGGATGTGCACCCTGACACGTGTCACCATGGATGTGCACCCTGACACGTGTCACCATGGATGTGCACCTGACACGTGTCACCGTGGTTGTGACACCCCGACACGTGTCACCATGGATATGACACCCTGACACGTGTCACCATGGATGTGCAGCCTGACACGTGTCACCATGGATGTGCACCTGACACGTGTCACCATGGATGTGCACCCTGACACGTGTCACCATGGATGTGCACCCTGACACGTGTCACCATGGATGTGCACCTGACACGTGTCACCGTGGTTGTGACACCCCCTGACATGGGATGGATCCAGCTGGGACCCCCCCAGCACAGAGCATGGACCCAATACAACGCAATGCACCCAACTCACACCCGGCTCACACCCCCTCACACCCAGCTCACACCCCCCTCACACCCCCCTCACACCCAGCTCACACCCGGCTCACACCCAGCTCACACCCGGCTCACACCCTGGTCACACCCAGCTGACACCCAGCTCACACCCCCCTCACACGCAGCTCAAACCCGGCTCACACCCCCCTCACACCCAGCTCACACCCAGCTCACACCCAGCTCACACCCGGCTCACACCCAGCTCACACCCCCCTCACACCCAGCTCACACCCAACTCACACCCCCCTCACACCCAGCTCACACCCAGCTCACACCCAGCTCACACCCAGATCACACCCAGATCACACCCGGCTCACACCCCGCTCACACCCCGCTCACACCCGGCTCACACCCAGCTCACACCCAGCTCACACCCCCCTCACACCCCCCTCACACCCCGCTCACACCCAGCTCACACCCAGCTCACACCCAGCTCACACCCAGATCACACCCAGATCACACCCGGCTCACACCCCGCTCACACCCAGCTCACACCCAGCTCACACCCCGCTCACACCCCGCTCACACCCCGCTCACACCCGGCTCACACCCAGCTCACACCCCCCTCACACCCCCCTCACACCCAGCTCACACCCAACTCACACCCCCCTCACACCCAGCTCACACCCAGCTCACACCCAGCTCACACCCGGCTCACACCCAGCTCACACCCAGCTCACACCCCCCTCACACCCCCCTCACACCCCGCTCACACCCAGCTCACACCCCGCTCACACCCAGCTCACACCCAGCTCACACCCCAGACTCACACCCCCCTCACACCCAGCTCACACCCAGCTCACACCCAGCTCACACCCAGCTCACACCCCCCTCACACCCCCCTCACACCCAGCTCACACCCCGCTCACACCCCGCTCACACCCCCCTCACACCCCGCTCACACCAGGCTCACACCCAGCTCACACCCAGCTCACACCCGGCTCACACCCCGCTCACACCCAGCTCACACCCGGATCACACCCCGCTCACACCCAGCTCACACCCCCCTCACACCCCCCTCACACCCAGCTCACACCCAGCTCACACCCAGCTCACACCCCGCTCACACCCAGCTCACACCCAGCTCACACCCCGCTCACACCCAGCTCACACCCCGCTCACACCCCGCTCACACCCCCCTCACACCCCACTCACACCAGGCTCACACCCAGCTCACACCCGGCTCACACCCAACTCACACCCCCCTCACACCCAGCTCACACCCAGCTCACACCCCCCTCACACCCCGCTCACACCAGGCTCACACCCAGCTCACACCCAGCTCACACCCGGCTCACACCCAGCTCACACCCAGCTCACACCCCCCTCACACCCCCCTCACACCCCGCTCACACCCAGCTCACACCCCGCTCACACCCAGCTCACACCCAGCTCACACCCCCCTCACACCCAGCTCACACCCAGCTCACACCCCGCTCACACCCAGCTCACACCCCCCTCACACCCCCCTCACACCCAGCTCACACCCAGCTCACACCCCGCTCACACCCAGCTCACACCCAGCTCACACCCCGCTCACACCCAGCTCACACCCAGCTCACACCCCGCTCACACCCCGCTCACACCCCCCTCACACCCCGCTCACACCAGGCTCACACCCAGCTCACACCCAGCTCACACCCGGCTCACACCCAGCTCACACCCAGCTCACACCCGGCTCACACCCCGCTCACACCCGCTCACACCCAGCTCACACCCCCCTCACACCCCCCTCACACCCAGCTCACACCCAGCTCACACCCAGCTCACACCCCGCTCACACCCAGCTCACACCCAGCTCACACCCCGCTCACACCCAGCTCACACCCCGCTCACACCCCGCTCACCCCCCCCTCAGCTCACACCAGGCTCACACCCAGCTCACACCCGGCTCACACCCAACTCACACCCCCCTCACACCCAGCTCACACCCAGCTCACACCCCCCTCACACCCCGCTCACACCAGGCTCACACCCAGCTCACACCCAGCTCACACCCCGCTCACACCCCGCTCACACCCCCCTCACACCCCACTCACACCAGGCTCACACCCAGCTCACACCCGGCTCACACCCAACTCACACCCCCCTCACACCCAGCTCACACCCAGCTCACACCCCCCTCACACCCCGCTCACACCAGGCTCACACCCAGCTCACACCCCGCTCACACCCCGCTCACACCCGGCTCACACCCAACTCACACCCCGCTCACAGCCGCGCTCTCCCTGTGCCATTCCCACAGGCAGCTCCTGGACAAGGACACCTTCTCCAAGTCGGACCCACGTGAGTGCTGGGGGGGTCAGGGGTGTTGGGGGTCACGGTGCCCCCCCCCCGACCCTCTGCTCGCTCCCCCCAGTCTGTGTCCTGTACATCCAGCGCCCCGGCAGCCGGCAGTGGCTGGAGGTGAGTGTCCAGAGGGAGGGAAGAAGGGATGGATGGGTGAAAGGATGGATGAGGGATGGATGGATGATGGATGGATGGATGGATGGATGGATGGATGGATGATGGATGGATGGATCATGGATGGATCATGGATGGATGGATGATGGAGGGATGGATGATGGATAGATGGATATGGATGGATGGATGATGGATGGATGATGGATGGATGGATGATGGATGGATGGATGAATGGATGGATGATGGATGGATGGATGATGGATGATGGAGGGATGGATGATGGATGGATGAATGGATGGATGGATGGGTGGATGGATGATGGATGCATGATGGATGGATGCATGGAATGGTTGCATGGATGGATGATGGATGGATGATGCATGGATGGATGATGGAGGGATGATGCATGGATGGATGATGGAGGGATGATGGATGGATGGATGATGGATGATGGATGGATGAATGGATGGATGCATGATGGATGGATGAATGGATGGATGATGGATGGATGAGGGATGGATGGATGGATGGATGGATGGATGGATGGATGGATGGATGATGGAGGGATGGATGATGGATGGATGATGGATGCATGATGGATGGATGCATGGAGTGGTTGCATGGATGGATGATGGATGGATGATGCATGGATGGATGATGGAGGGATGATGCATGGATGGATGATGGATGGATGATGGATGGATGATGGATGGATGATGGATGGATGTTGGATGGATGAATGGATGGATGATGGATGGATGATGGATGGATGATGGATGGATGATGGATGGGTGGATGAAAGATGATGGATGGATGATGAGTAGTGGACAGCTGGCACAGGAAGTTGCATGTTGGGGTGCCAGCCAGCTGGCCTATCATGAGCATGTTGAGGTCATGGCCAATCAGCATGTTGGGGTGCTGGCCAACCAGCCAATCAGCGTGTTAGATGACAAACTATCAGCATGTTGGGGTGCCATCAACACTGGTGGTCTGGCCAATGATCACGTTAGATTTTGGCCAGCCAGCCAATCAGCATGTTGGGGTGCCAGTCTGCTAATCAATCACCAATGAGTAATCAGCTTGCTGAGGTGCTGGCCAATCAGCTTTCTGGGGTGCAGCCATCCAGCCAATCAGCACACTGGGGATCAGATTGGGGTGCCGCACAGGTGACCAATCAGCTGTCAGCAGGCAGGCAGGCGGCCAATCAGCTCTCAGCCTGGCTGCACGCAGGGAGGGGACACTCAGGGACACCCGGGTGCCGCGGCCCCCCCCCGCTGCCTCCCGCCCCCCCCGCAGGCTGTAATTAAGCCTCTGGTTAATTGCGGGCTCTGGGCGCTATGGGCGGGGGGGGGCGGGCAGGGCTCGGGGCCGGCCCCAGCGGGGACAATGGGGCACCTGGGCCCTCCTGCCCCTGTCACACGTGGCCCCGGCCCCCGCTCCAGCCCCCCCGGTGTCCCCATGTCCCCGTCCCCAGTTCGGCCGCACCGAGGTCATCGACAACTCCCTGAACCCCGACTTCCTGCACAAGTTCGTCCTCGACTACTTCTTCGAGGAGAAGCAGAACCTGCGCTTCGACCTGTGAGTGCCCGCAGCCCATCATAGCCCAGCCCGTCCCCAGCCCATCGCATCCCTGTCCCCATCGCATCCACATCCCATCCCATTCCATCCCCATCCCATTCCATCCCCATCCCATCACATCCCTGTCCCCATCACATCCCCATCCCATCCCATTCCATCCCCAGCCCATCGCATCCCTGTCCCCATCACATCCCCATCCCATCCCATTCCATCCCCAGCCCATCACATCCCTGTCCCCATCGCATCCACATCCCATCCCATTCCATCCCCAGCCCATCGCATCCCTGTCCCCATCACATCCACATCCCATCCCATTCCATCCCCATCCCATCACATCCCTGTCCCCATCACATCCACATCCCATCACATCCACATCCCATCCCATTCCATCCCCAACCCATCACATCCCTGCCCCCATTACATCCACATCCCATCCCATTCCATCCCCATCCCATCACATCCCTGTCCCCATCACATCCACATCCCATAAAAACCCATCCCATCCCCATCCCATCCTCTCCCAGTCTCCTCCCTGCCCCATCCCATCCCCATCCCTGCCCACATCCTATCCCCAACCCATTCCCATCCCATCCCCATCCCCATCTTGTCTCCATCCCCATCCCTGTCCCCATCCCATCCCCTGCCATCCCCATCCTATCCTCATCCCTGTCCCCATCCCGTCCCCATCCCATCCCATCCCATCCCATCAAAACGCATCCCCATCCCATCCCATCGCAGTCTCCTCCCTGTCTGATCCCATCCCCATCCCATGCCTATCCCATCCCCATCCCCATCTTGTCTCCATCCCCATCCCTGTCCCCGCTGCCACGGTCCCTGCTCCATCCCCAGGTACGATGTGGACTCCAAGAGCCCCGACCTCTCCAAGCACGTGCGTGGGGGCCTGGCCCCGCTCCCCCATTCCCTGTGGATGGGATGGGACAGGCTCGGTCCCCGTTGATCCCGGTGCCCGTTGATCCCGGTCCCTGTTGATCCTGGTCCCCGTTGATCCCGGTCCCCGTTGATCCCGGTCCCCTGCAGGACTTCCTGGGCCAAACCTTCTGCACCCTGGGTGAGATCGTGGGCTCTGCCGGCGGCCGCCTCGAGAAGCCGCTGACGTGAGCCCCCCCCCCCCCAGTGTCCCCATGTGCCCCCCATTCCCATGGGGAACCCCTCACCCCCCCTCCCCTCCCCATTCCCATGGGATTACCCCGGGGTGTCCCCACAGGATGGCCGCTGCCACCGCCCATTCCCGGCGCAGGAAACCAGCTCCGGCGCTCTCCAATGGGTGAGTTTGGGGGTCTCCCATCTTTGGGGGGGGGGGTCACTGTGTGTGTGCCCCCCAACAACCCCCCCATATATCCCACACACCCCCCACACCCCCCGGCAGCGGCATTCCCGGGAAGAGCTGCGGCACCATCATTGTCCTGGCTGAGGAGCTGGGCAACTGCCGGGTGAGAGCCAGCATTGGGGACAATGGGGGGGGGACGGGGACACCCCCATTGTGTGTGGGGGGGGGACGGGGACACCCCCATTGTGTGTGTGGGGCTGAGCCCCCTTAGAGAGGAAGAGGATGCTCAGGGCTCACCTGGCCCATGGGGCTGGTGTCCCTCTGCCCGCCCCCCATCCTGCAGTGTCCCCAAGGGGGTGGCACCCAATGACACCCCCAAACTCCGTGTGTCCCCCCCCCAGGACGTGGCCACGCTGCAGTTCTGTGCCAATAAACTGGACAAGAAGGATTTCTTTGGCAAATCCGACCCTTTCCTGGTGTTTTACCGCAGCAACGAGGACGGGACGTGAGGGACCCCCCGAGACACCGCCACCCCCCGGGGCCCCATCCCGGAACATCCCAAACCCATCCCAGAACCCCAAGCCCCATCCCAGAACATCCCAAACCCATCCTGGAACATCCCAAACCCCATCCCGGAACCCCCAAACCCCATCCCAGAACATCCCAAACCCATCCTGGAACATCCCAAACCCATCCCGGAACCCCAAACCCCATCCCGGAACCCCAAACCCCATCCCGGAACATCCCAAACCCCATCCCGGAACATCCCAAACCCCATCCTGGAACATCCCAAACCCCATCCCGGAACATCCCAAACCCATCCTGGAACATCCCAACCCCCATCCCGGAACATCCCAAACCCATCCCGGAACCCCCAAACCCCATCCTGGAACATCCCAAACCCCATCCTGGAACATCCCAAACCCCATCCTGGAACATCCCAAACCCATCCTGGAACATCCCAAACCCATCCTGGAACATCCCAAACCCCATCCTGGGACCCCCTGAACCCCATCCCAGGACCCCCAAATCCATCCCGGGACACCCTGAACCCATCCCGGAACTCCCCCAAACCCCATCCTGGGACCCCACAAACCCATCCCAGGACCCCCCTGAATCACATCCAGGGACCCTCAAACCCCATTCTGGAACCCCCTGAACCACATGCCGGGACCTCCCAAACCCCATTCTGGGACCCCCCAAGCCTGTCCCAGGACCCCCCTGAACCGAATCTCGGGAACCCCCAAATCCCATCCTGGTACCCCCCAAACCCCATCCCGGGACCCCCCAAACCCCATCCTGGAACCCTCCGAGCCCAATCTCGGGAACCCCCAAATCCCATCCTGGTACCCCCCAAACCCCATCCCGGGACCTCCTGAACCCCCTCCTGGAACCCCCTGAACCTCTATCCCAGGGACCCCCTGAACCCCATCCCAAGACCCCCAAACCCGTCCCGGAACATCCCAAACCCATCCTGGGACCCCCCTGGACCCCATCCCAGGACACCCCAAATCCATCCCAGGTTCCCCGGCTGTGCCCGCCCCCCAGTCCCCATGGGCAGCTCAGGCTGGGGGTGCCCTGGGCTGGTCTCTATGGGGATGGGGGGGGGGGGGTGTTTGGTCACCACCATGGGGTGACCGCGGTGCCCCCCCCCAGGTTCACCATCTGCCACCGCACGGAGGTGGCGCGGCAGACGCTGGCCCCGGTGTGGGCAGCGTTCGACATCCCCGTGCGAGCGCTCTGCAACGGAGACCCCGACCGGTGAGCGCCGGCGCGGCATGCAGTGGTGCCCTATGGCACCCCAATGACACCCCAATGGCACCCAATGGCACCCAATGGCACCCAATGGCACCCGATGGCACCCAATGGCACCCAATGGCACCCCAATGGCACCCGATGGCATCCAATGACACCCCAATGGCATCCGATGGCACCCCAATGGCACCCAATGGCATCCAATGGCATCCAATGGCACCCCAGTGGCACCCAATGGCACCCAATGGCACCTGATGGCACCCCAATGGCACCCAATGGCACCCGATGGCACCCGATGGCACCCCAATGGCATCCGATGGCACCCCAATGGCACCTGATGGCACCCCAATGGCATCCGATGTCACCCGATGGCACCCCAATGGCACCCAATGGCACCCCAATGGCACCCGATGGCACCCAATGGCACCTAATGGCACCCAATGGCACCTGATGGCACCCCAATGGCACCTGATGGCACCCGATGTCACCCCAATGGCACCCAATGGCACCCAATGGCACCTGATGGCACCCCAATGGCACCCACTGGCACCCCAATGGCACCCGATGGCACCCGATGGCACCCCAATGGCACCCAATGGCACCCGATGGCACCCCATGGCACCCCATGGCACCCAATGACACCCCAATGGCACCCAATGACACCCCAATGACACCCCAATGGCACCCGATGGCACCCAATGACAGCCAATGGCACCCCAATGACAGCCAATGACACCCAATGGTACCCAGTGACACGCCAATGACAGCCAATAGCACCCTAATGGCACCCAATGGCACCCGATGGCACCCAATGACAGCCAATAGCACCCCAATGACAGCCAATGGCACCCGATGGCACCCTAATGACAGCCAGTGACACCCCAATGGCACCCAATGGCACCCAATGACAGCCAATGGCACCCCAATGGCACCCCAATGACAGCCAATGACACCCAATGGTACCCAATGGCACCCCAATGACAGCCAGTGACATCCCAATGGCACCTCAATGGCACCTGATGGCACCCAATGACATTCCAATGGCACCCCAAGACAACCAATGAAAACCCCATGGCAGCCAATGGCACCCCAGTGACAGCCAATGACAGCCAATGGCACCCAACTGCACCCCAATGGCACCCAATGGTGCCCAATAACACCTCAATGGCACCTGATGGCACCCAATGACACCCCAATGGCACTCCAGGACAAACAATGACAACCCCATGACAGCCAATGGCACCCCAGTGACAGCCAATGACAGCCCAATGACACCCCAGAGTCACCCCAATGTCACCCTAAGACACCCAATGACAATCCCACGACAGCCAATAGCACCCCAATGACACTCGATGGCATCCAGAGACACCCAATGACACCCAATGGCACCCCAATGGCACCCCAAGACACCCAATGACAATCCCGTGACAGCCAATGGCACCCCAATGGCATCCCATGGCATCCAGACACCCAATGACACCCCAGAGACACCCTAATAACACCCAGAGACACCCCAGAGACACCCCAGAGACACCCCAATGACACCCTAATAACACTCAATGACACCCCAGAGACACCCAATGACACTCCAGAGTCACCCAATGACACCCTAATAACACCCAATGACACCCCAGAGACACCCCAATGACACCCTAATAACACCCAATGACACCCCAGAGACACCCCAATGACACCCTAATAACACCCAATGACACCCCAGAGACACCCAATGACGCTCCAGAGTCACCCAATGACACCCTAATAACACCCAATGACACCCCAGAGACACCCAGAGACACCCAATGACACCCTAATAACACCCAATGACAACCCAGAGACACCCCAGAGACACCCCAATGACACCCTAATAACACCCAATGACAACCCAGAGACACCCCAGAGGCACCCCAATGACACCCCAGAGACACCCAATGACACCCAATGACATCTCAATGACACCCTGGTAACACCCAATGACACCCCAGAGACACCCAATGACACCCAATGACACCCTAATAAGACCCAGAGACACCCCAGAGACACCCCAATGACACCCTAATAACACCCAATGACACCCCAGAGACACCCCATGACACCCTAATAACACCCAATGACACCCCAGAGACACCCAATGACACCCAATGACATCTCAATGACACCCTGATAACACCCAATGACACCCCAGAGACACCCAATGACACCCAATGACATCTCAATGACACCCCAGAGCCCCCCATGAGCCACCCCTGGGCTGTGGGTGTCTGTGTCCCCCCCCCGCAGCGGTGTCACCTTGGTGCTGGCTCAGCATCACCAGGTGTTGCTGTGGCAACGGGGATGAGAGGAGCCTGAGGAGGAGGAAAAGGTCCCCTGGGGGTGACAAAGGAGCGCATGGGGTGACAAAGGGGCCTATGGGGTGACAAAGGAGCCCATGGGGGTGACAAAGGGGTCCATGGGATGACAAAGGAGCCCATGGGGGTGACAAAGGGGTCCATGGGATGACAAAGGAGCCCATGGGGGTGACAATGGGGCCTGGGGGTGACAAAGGAGCCCATGGGGGTGACAAAGGGGCCCATGGGGGTGACAAAGGAGCCCATGGGGGTGACAAAGGGGTCCATGGGGTGACAAAGGAGCCTATGGGGTGACAAAGGGGCGCATGGGGTGACAAAGGGGTCCATAGGGTGACAAAGGAGCCCATGGGGTGACAAAGGGGTCCATGGGGGTGACAAAGGAGCCCATGGGGTGACAAAGGGGTCTATGGGGTGACAAAGGAGCCCATGGGGGTGACAAAGGAGCCCACGGGGTGACAAAGGAGCCCATGGGGTGACAAAGGGGCGCATAGGGTGACAAAGGGGTCCATAGGGTGACAAAGGAGCCCATGGGGTGACAAAGGGGTCCATGGGGTGACAAAGGAGCCCATGGGGGTGACAAAGGGGTCCATGGGGTGACAAAGGAGCCCATGGGGTGACAAAGGAGCCCATGGGGTGACAAAGGGGTCCATGGGGTGACAAAGGAGCCCATGGGGTGACAAAGGGGCCTGGGGGTGACAAAGGAGCCCATGGGGGTGACAAAGGGGCCTATGGGGTGACAAAGGAGCCCATGGGGTGACAAAGGGGCGCATAGGGTGACAAAGGGGTCCATAGGGTGACAAAGGAGCCCATGGGGTGACAAAGGGGTCCATGGGGTGACAAAGGAGCCCATGGGGGTGACAAAGGGGTCCATGGGGTGACAAAGGAGCCCATGGGGTGACAAAGGAGCGCATGGGGTGACAAAGGGGCCTATGGGGTGACAAAGGAGCCCATGGGGGTGACAAAGGGGCCCATGGGGTGACAAAGGGGCCTATGGGGTGACAAAGGAGCCCATGGGGTGACAAAGGGGTCCATGGGATGACAAAGGAGCCCATGGGGGTGACAATGGGGCCTGGGGGTGACAAAGGAGCCCATGGGGGTGACAAAGGGGCCCATGGGGGTGACAAAGGAGCCCATGGGGGTGACAAAGGGGTCCATGGGGTGACAAAGGAGCCTATGGGGTGACAAAGGGGCGCATGGGGTGACAAAGGGGTCCATAGGGTGACAAAGGAGCCCATGGGGTGACAAAGGAGCCCATGGGGTGACAAAGGGGCCTGGGGGTGACAAAGGAGCCCATGGGTACCCCACTACCCCCTGGGTGTGGGTCAGGGTCACCAGTGTGACCCCCATGTCCCGCAGGAGCATCAAGGTGGAGGTGTACGACTGGGACCGCTCTGGCAGGTGAGTCCTGGGGTGACCCCCCCCCCACCCCAGCCCGGCCCCCCAACCCCATGGCCCCCCCTTGACCCACAGCCACGACTTCATCGGGGAGTTCACCACCAGCTACCGCGAGCTGGCGCGGGGAGAGCACGGCCTCAACGTGTACGAGGTGAGCGAGGGCACCCATGGGTGCCATGGGGTACCCATGGGTGCTGTGGTGCCCATGCTGTACCTATGGGTGTTGCGGTCCCTTGGGTCCCTATGGGCATTACGGTCCCCAAGTGCCACAGCCCCTGTGTGCACCCCTGGGTGCTGCATCTCTGCACTGCACCCCCCCTGTACCCCCCCTGCACCCTGGGGTGCTGCAGCTCCCCCTTTCCCCCCCCCCAGGTGGTGAACCCCAAGAAGAAGCTGAAGAAGAAGAAGTACCTGAACTCAGGCACGGTGAGGACAGGGGGTGATGGTGACACAAGGGTGATGGTGACCTGGGGGTGATGGTGACAGGGATGATGGTGATGGTGACACAGGGTGATGGTGACATGAGGGGTAATGGTGACACAGGGTGATGGTGATGGTTACACAGGGTGAGGGTGATGGTGACAGGGTGATTGATGGTGATGGTGACACAGGGGTGATGGTGATGGTGACACAGGGTGATGGTGACATGAGGGGTGATGGTGACACAGGGGTGATGGTGATGGTGACACAGGGTGATGGTGACATGAGGGGTAATGGTGACACAGGGTGATGGTGATGGTGACACGAGTGGTGATGGTGACAGTGACACAGGGTGATGGTGATGGTTACACAGGGTGAGGGTGATGGTGACAGGGTGATTGATGGTGACGGTGACACAGGGGTGATGGTGATGGTGACACAGGGTGATGGTGACACAGGGTGATGGTGACGGTGACAGAGGGGTGATAGTGATGGTGACACAGGGTGGTGGTGACACAGGGTGGTGGTGACACAGGGATGATGGTGACGGTGACACAGGGTGATGGTGACAGGGGGTGATGGTGATGGTGACACAGAGTGATGGTGATGGTGACATAGAGATGATGGTGATGGTGACACAGGGATGATGGTGACGGTGACACAGGGATGATGGTGACAGTGACAGAGGGGTGATGGTGATAGTGACACAGGGTGATGGTGACGGTGACAGTGACACAGGGTGATGGTGACGGTGACACAGGGTGATGGTGACACAGGGTGATGGTGACGGTGACACAGGGTGATGGTGATGGTGATGGTGACATGAGGGGTGACGGTGGTGACACCGCTCCCTGCAGGTGACTCTTTTGTCCTTCTCGGTGGAGTCCGACCCCAGCTTCTTGGACTACATCAGGGGCGGGTGAGCCGGGGCTGGGGGGCTGATGACCCGGCCCCATCCACACCCCATGGACAGGGTGGGGGGGGGGTCCCATCCCTCCCCTGTGTGCCAGGGGGTGGAGGGGGGCAGACCTCACCCCATGGACACACGGAGCCCCCAATGGTGCCATTGCCCTCACCAGGACCCAGCTCAACTTCACCGTTGCCATCGACTTCACCGCCTCCAACGGTGAGGGGTGGGAGGCCGCAATGGTGGTGGTGTCGGTGGGGTGTTAATGGGGTGTCAGGGCCCATGTGAGCCCCGAACCCCACACAGGGAACCCATCCCAACCCACGTCCCTGCACTACCTGAGCCCCTACCAGCTCAACGCCTACACCATGGCCCTCAAGGCCGTGGGGGAGATCATCCAGGACTACGACAGCGACAAGATGTTCCCGGCGCTGGGCTTCGGGGCCAAGATCCCTCCGGATGGGCGCGTGTCCCACGAGTTCCCATTGGTGAGGGGCTCCCGTGGGGAGGCGGGATGGGGCCGGGAGGCGGTGACGTCACCGGTGGGGTGTGTGTGTGTGTATGTGGGGGGGGTGCATCCGTGCGCTGCAGAACGGGGATGCGGAGAACCCGGCGTGCAGCGGCATCGAGGGCGTGCTGGAAGCCTATCACCGCAGCCTGCGCCGCGTCCAGCTCTACGGGCCCACCAACTTCGCGCCCGTCGTCAACCACGTGGCGCGGTATGGGGTGAGGGGGTGGGGGGGTGTGGGGTGGGGGGTGTGGGGGGTATGGGGTGAGGGGGTGGGGGGGGTGTGGGGTGTGTGTGTGGGGGTATGGGGTGTGGGGTATGGGATATCGGATATAGGGTATGGGGTATGGGATATGGGGTGTGGGGTGTGGGGTATGGTGTATGGGGTGTGGGATATGGGGTATGGGGTGTGGGATATGGGGTGTGGGGTGTGGGATATGGGGTATGGGATATGGGATATGGGGTATGGGGTATGGGATATGGGGTGTGGGATATGGGGTATGGGGTTATTATGAGGTGTGGGGTATGGGATATGGGGTGTGGGGTTATTATGGGGTGTGGGGTGTGGGATATGGGGTGTGGGGTGTGGGGTATGGGATATGGGGTGTGGGATATGGGGTATGGGGTGTGGGATATGGGGTGTGGGGTGTGGGGTATGGGGTATGGGGTATGGGGTATGGGGTATGGGATATGGGGTATGGGATATGGGGTGTGGGGTATGGGATATGGGGTGTGGGGTGTGGGATATGGGGTGTGGGGTATGGGATATGGGGTGTGGGGTATGGGGTATGGGATATGGGGTGTGGGGTGTGGGGAATGGGATATGGGGTGTGGGGTGTGGGGTATGGGATGTGGGGTATGGGATGTGGGGTGTGGGATATAGGATACGGGATATAGGATATATGGTGTGGGATATAGGATACAGGATACGGGATATGGGGTATGTGATATAGGATACAGGATATTGGGTATGGCATATGGGGTATGGGGTGTGGGGGTATGGGATATGGGGTATGGGATATAGGATAGGGGATATGGGGTATGGGGTGTGGGATATGGGGTATGGGGTGTGGGATATGGGATATGGTGTATGGGGTTTGGGATATGGGATCTGGGGTATGGGATATGGGATATGGGATATGGGATCTGGGGTATGGGATATGGGGAATGGGATATGGGATGTGAGTTATGGTATATGGATAGGGGATACAGGATATGGGGTGTGGGATGTGGGCTATGGGCTGTGGGTACAGGATATGGGGTCCGGGTGCTGTGCCCACCCCGGGTCCCTCCCTGGCCCCTGACCGCTCGCTCCCAGCGCGGCGGCCGCGGTGCTCGATGGCTCCCAGTACTTCGTGCTCCTCATCATCACCGACGGCGTCATCTCGGACATGGCGCAGACCAAGGAGGCCATCGTCAACGTGAGGGGCTCGGGGTGCCCCCAAGGCGGGGGGGGGGGCAGCACCCAGGGGTGCCGGGGTGGACCGGGCAATGATGGTCCCATGGGATGCGCATCATGGCCAAGGCGTGGGGTGCCCATCATGGTCCTGGCTGCAGGATGCCCATTGAGATCCCGAGGGAAGGACACCCAGGATTGGGGTGGTCCTGGGATGTCCATCATGGGCCAGGGCATGGAATACTCGTTGTGGCTGAAGAGTGGGGTGCCCATCATGATCCCAGGGTGCCCATCATGGTCCTGGGATGCCCATCATGGTCCCCGGATGCCCATCATGGTTCTGGGATGCCCGTCATGGTCCCCGGATGCCCATCATGGTTCCGGGATGCCCATCATGATCCCGGGATGCTCATCATGGTCCCGGGATGCCCATCATGATCCCGGGATGCCCATCATGGTTCTGGGATGCCCATCATGGTCCCCGGATGCCCATCATGGTTCTGGGATGCCCATCATGATCCCGGGATGCCCATCATGGTCCCCGGATGCCCATCATGGTTCTGGGATGCCCATCATGGTCCCGGGATGCCCATCATGGTCCTGGGATGCCCATCATGGTCCCGGGATGCCCATCATGGTTCTGGGATGCCCATCATGGTCCCGGGATGCCCATCATGGTCCTGGGATGCCCATCATGGTTCTGGGATGCCCATCATGATCCCGGGATGCCCATCATGATCCCAGGATGCCCATCATGATCCCGGGATGCCCATCATGATCCCGGGATGCCCATCATGGTCCTGGGATGCCCATCATGGTCCCGGGATGCCCATCATGGTTCTGGGATGCCCATCACGATCCCAGGCACAGGAATCCCACCATTGCCAAGCCATGGGGCTTCCATCCCCACCTTCCCCCCCCACCGGGTGATGAAGCCGATGCTGCTCTCCAATGGGGGGGGGGTGGGGTGGGTGTCTCACACCCCATGGGTGCTGTGGGGGGGGGGGGGGGGGAGTCCTGAGCTCAGTGTGGGTCCCCCCCAGGCTGCCGCGCTCCCCATGTCCATCATCATCGTGGGGGTCGGCCAGGCCGAGTTCGATGGTGAGTTGGGG